GAGCCAAGAGAAGTTCCGAGTAGGGCGAGAACGCTGTCTGCATGTCAAACAAGTTAAGGCTGTGACCAGGTGGTGTCTGATGAGTGTAGTGGCAGGCATTATGAAGCACGTGGCGGAAAATAATCGAACTCTGCGGTTGAACTGTCATGTCAAACATGCATGCACGCGCCCCTTGAACGGAGCGCGTGGTAAATGCGTTGGACCAACACCGGGACTGGATGTTATTTGGGATGCGTTCCCATACTCAATACTGTGCAGATGAAGGAGCGTGGTGAACTGTGTAAATGCAGGCTCACACCACGCCAGCAAATTCTGTCCGATCCCGCCTCTGGTCTTCTTGACTCTGTCTTGATACCCTACAGAGCTGTATGACGGAGAAGGGTGTGTGATAGATGCCTTGCAAACCTACTGTGCTGTGGAACACATAGTGGACCTAATCAGACAAGACGGTCAAAATTCTTTCGGATTGGTAGTCGGTGGAATTTTCTTTTCTGAATTTCGCTAGTATCGCTCGAGAAGTCATGTCTAACCCGAAAGTACTAAAAAACACTATTTAGGTTTCTATCCTTGGAAATTCGCACTTATTGATGGTGTTTTCGATAAAATCAAACATTATCAACCACTTCCTTAGCATAATTACGGACTTCAAACTTTATTTAAAAAATCCTCTGACTGAAGTGTGTATAAATTTTGGAGGTGGGAGATTATTGGTTGGTCCAGCTTTCGTGTACGGAATGAACGAAAACAGTGAGGCGGAAGGAAATTCACTTTACTGCTCTGGCGCTTTCTTTGGTAAGGGTGGCTTGTATGTCCAAGGCACAGAAACAGGAACCGCCCACAATAAGTGTAACTTTATGTTAAATTCCGGGAAAGAATGTTAATACTTAAGATGAGGGTTAGGGTTCAGTTTAAAGTGGGATTTAAGGTTGGGGTTAAGGTCAGATTTTGGGATTATGTTTGAGTTCATGCCCACTGTAGTGTTCAGGTTTAGGGTAGGGCTGGGCTGGGGCTAAGAGTAAAGTTACATTTTACAGAATTCAGACACGGGCATATACAATATATTGGGTAAGTGAAGTAACTTGCATTCCGAGATGATATGGTGAAATGAAAGAAGATCTTCGGAAAATCGAATTATATGTACTCGTGAATTTTCGAACAGGTATCACTTGTTCGTCGTCAGACAAAATCAAACATGAGGGCTGGAAATTTTGCAATAGAGGTTTTGGGGGCAGGGATTATAACGAACGGGCATGGGGTTGGGGAGAAAGTTGCCGTGACGTGAATCCTGCGGCAATAGGTTGGGCAGGTAAGTGGGGGAGGTGTTAACGTTTGGATTGTGGTCCACGTGTTCCGGGGGGAGGAGGGAGGGAATGCAGAACCAGTGAAGTTCTGCTTGACCGAGCACAAACGGCCTGCGGTTATTTCAGGCTGGGAGCAGGTTAGTGGACCATGCGCGAAAACCGGCATAGTGTGAATCAAGGTCACTTTTTATTTAGTCTGACTACGAACAAGTGATATCTGTTCGAACATTCACGAGTATACCTCGGTTTTCCGAAGATCTTCTTTCTTTTCATACAGTATATTGTCTATCTCATGAAATGTCAACCGAAATTCTGAAATGCGCTTTCGAATCGAATATGTTAATTAAGTAGGGTTGTAACATTGACCTAGTTTCCATATATATATATTTCAGTCACCTCAGGACGCCGGCTTTTGACCGAGTCTCTTTTCAACCACCAGCATGAAGCATGTTCTGTAAAAATGGCTACTTAAGTAGTATGCCTTTTTCACATTGGTGTTCACTGCCCTAATAAATTCAAATATATTTTATAGAAAAAGTACACAAAATATACTTTCTTGTACTCATTTGGTAGAAAATTACGCCTTCTTCAAATATTATATTTGAAGAAAGGGTACGTTGCAGGTCTAAAAAAATTGCCAAGTTGCCAAATAATTTTGAACGGTACTGGCCGTTACACCTGAATTCAAGGTCTCCAAAATACATACTGTATGTATTCTGTCTTAGGACAAATAAATATTTCCCTACAGCGCGAGAAGGAGGTCATATAGTTCTCATAAAATTTCGCTATGGAGGTGAACCAAGTTTTATAATTTATAAGCAGAATTAACAAATGAATAGATACGTTGCTTTATGCATGCACATTTCATGGTTGTAAAAACTCTCATAATTAGAATTTTTATAACCCAATGGTACTCTTTCTTCAAGTATATAATTTGAAGAATACGTGATTTTCTACCAAAAGTGTTCAAAGAAATGTATTTTGTGCAACATATATTTGCATTTATTAGGGCAGTGAGAATCAATGAGAAAAAGGCATACCAAATAATTAGCCATTTTTTACAGAATACCCCTTATGCTGGTGGTCAAAAGGAAGCTTGTTCAAAAGATGACATGCTTAGGTGGCTGAGATATGTTGAGATCAAGTCGTATGCTAATTAATGTTGCATACTTACTTAATTAATATGTTTAGATCGAAAGTACCTTTCAGAATTTCGGCTGACATTTCATAAGCTAGACAATTTACTGCATACTCTTCACGACGTTTATCGCAAGACCACCTGTTTTAAGTGGGTGGGGTTGTCCTATTTCCGTGTCCTGTAAAGGTGGCCATACAATTCTTCCTTACCATTTCTTTTATCACTTTCAAAAATACACAAACATTATTCACAAGATCTGTCGTGGATGAAACTTACCGCGAATAATTACTGATTGGGTCATCCACGTCGACAGGTGCCTTTATCACTTGAAGTGACGGCTCCAGCATACCGGCCATGCCAAGGGGGGAGTGTTGACGATGCTGCATCAGCCGCCCCTCCAGTTTCCAGTCGTCGGGACTGCCAGACTCCGCCTCCAGCGAACGAAGCCAGGTCAGCGCACTCGGCAGAGATTGAACACCAAATTCGGAGGTGAAACGAGTCAGCGGGTAGACCTCCTCATTCCACAGATCTCCATCATATCGATAAAAATGGACGTCACCAATCAGTGGATCCTAAAAAGGTCGTTAATTGGAGGGAGCGCTTGTTAAGTCAAGGCAAGTTCGAAAAGCAATGGCAGTCAAACAACTCAGACCACCCCCTTCAGGGTAGCTGTAAGGAGAACCTTAGGATACTTGCCCCCCATAGTTTCTTTAATGCGATTATTGTACGTAATAAGGTTCTCATTGGCAACATGCTTTCTGGACCAGCCTGGCTGGCTGGCTGGATATATTTAAGGCCGTGAACAACTGGCTTTATTAACTCTGCAAAAAGGCGGGTACAAACCATGAGACAATTTGAGCATTGTAGGGGAAAAGCCCCACGCCTTCTGGCGTAGTCGTGCTCCGCGTGGGAATTTGTTTGTGTGCTAAAGTGGACTGGCGTGGTGTAGCCTGGCGTGGCATCTACCCTACTCTCCTTCTGTCTCCTACCAGTTGCTGTGGTAAGAAAAGGTGGAGATTACCGGAAGTGGGCGTGAATTCAGCAGATGCGGAAGCTAAAACAAAACCTGTATACGTGCCACACACATTCCTGCGAAAGCGAGAATGGCCTTCATATTAAGGGGCCGTATTTGGATAGACTAATCGTAGTTTGACTCTCTTTCGAAAGAAGGGTCATGAGGCAGTAGACTTTAATAGTCTTGCCTTTTAACTCGCGTGGTTATCGTGCTGACAGGGGCATCAAATTTCCGTGTGAAGAATAATAGTTCGAAATCAATCTTCCTCTTACCTTATTATTCTACACACTGATAAGGAATGATCAACTGTCATAATTAAAAATCGATAAGACCACAATGGGAAAGTGAAGAGTTTACTTGATGACAGGGAGCATTTTACAGTCAAGCACGGGACTCGCAATCCAAAAAAACAGTAGGAGGTCACTCAGATAAACTCCTCGGAGAATTCAAGCGCCGCAAAAACGTGTTCACAGAGAACGAACGGCTCTGGCTCGCTTCTGTGGTCTGTCAAAGATCCATAAGCCAAATTTGCCAGCTATATACCTCTAGTCCAGCCACCGGGCTGATATATATTCCCCGTATATCCTGGTTGACTGTTTTAATCCATTTCCATAGGGATGCGTTATTTTTGTAGACATTTGAAGACAGTCTGCATCCACCAAATTTTTGATGCCATCAAATTCCGCATCCTTCGTCAGCGTCCTATTTTTCAAGACACCGCATACTTATCAATACAGAAATTAACCCATGCTTATCCATCGGCTACTCGAAAAAAAGAGTAGGTAGAAGATTGATCGCTCACCGGAATCCTGTCTTTACTCATTCAAACTTTTGAACGCTTAATGGACCGCCTCAGTCTCCTGACCTCCAAGGTCTGTGGGTTCAGTCGGACGAAATCATGATATCCTTTGAAGTGACGTCCTCACTCACATCCATCTAGCCGGGTTTGGCACAATAAATTTTGCGCAGAAAACTTGAGAGGTCATACGGCGAAACCCAGAGATCGCTCAAATTCAGTACCTCATTAGACGGTGTTAGTTCGACCATCGCCTAACTTAGTCTTAAGTGGCAGTAGTCTTTTTGCGCTGGTACAATTGTACTATTTAACCTCACTCATCTTCAGTAGGTGTCAAGCCAGACTCAAGGAAACCAAGGTTAATAATGCTCATGCTGCTGCTGATATT